GTGGGGATTTGTCTACATGGTGTTCCTGTAAGTATGTGTGTATGTTCTGTAAAACTGGTCACGGGTATGTCTTTCAAAAATATGCTCTAGGATCACATTTATTTGGGAATAGCTATATATTACCTTCATGAATGTTAGAAAGTTAAAGGCTCTGACAAATCCTAAAATAAAGAAACTTTTTTTTAAACCTAATAATTGACATTTTAGTGGGTAGGGTTGGAATCCCCTAAAGAACCCTATGAGGGAAACACTAGTTGAACTTTCTGGGGAACCTCGCTGTAATTGCACATCCTATTATCTCTAATGCCGGCTATTGTGGATACAGAGATGAGTAGGCCAGGATCTATGCCTTCCAGGCATAAAGGATCAAATGGAAGAGATGCAGATAAATGTGATATGGGATGGTAATTGTAGACCAAAGCTTGTTCAAATCATAATGGGCATGAGGACTGAGAAGCAAGTAAGTCTGCCCAGAGCGGGGCAGTGGATGAGGACAGGAAGGCTCCATAGGTGAAGTGCCATTTGAGCTGAGCACTGAGAGGTGTTTGTAATAATTCACCAGATGGAGAAGGCGGGAAAGGATATTCCAGGTACAAGGAACAATATGGCGCAGAGGCATAAAATCTGAAGGTATGTTCTAGGCCTGTGAAATAATTTTGCAGTTATGGAGAGTAGGAAGAGAGGAGCAGGAGAAAGTTCTGGGGAGTGGGTAGATGTCTGATTGCCGTATGCTGAAAGTGCCATTCTAAGGAGTCTGAAATTTATCCTATAGGTAACAGGAAACCATCCTTAGATTGGTTTTTAATCAGGAGAATTACATGATCAATAAGTATTTTCAAAAGAGAATTCTGGAGTGCTAATTCCAGAATTCAGGGGAACTAATTATGATTCTACTGAAAAGACTGAAGTAAGAGATGGTAAAAGGGATGAATAATGACAGGGGCAAAAGAATGAGAAGGAGGAAACTGATTTGAAAGAAATTTAGGAGCTTGAGAACCATGAGGAGTGGTTGAATATGAGGCAGGAAAGAAAGAGGAATACAAAATAACTCTATAGTAATTAGCTTGGGCAGGTGTTGTGTGATTATAATACTGGGAAAGAGATTTAGGGAAGCAAACTGTCTCATATTGGTTTTGAATTGGACTGGGGAGTTCTAGTACATGGTTATTTTCCTTAAATACACATCCATTGATTTTTGTGTTTCAGAGTTCAAGAATGAGTTAACTGACTAAATACTACTATATTCCTTTTAAGGAGATTCAGCATCCACCAAAAAAATCTATTTCAAAGTGAAATTTGGTAGGTACTCAATACATCCATGTCAACCAAGCAGCATTTAAAGCTGTATTATGTCGCTTTACTTTTCCTCTAAATGATAAATAATCATTTCTGGGACTGTAAATCTATGTTTTTTAAAAAATTTTTCAATATACAATGTAGTTAGTTATTGTGTCCCATCACCAAAACCTCCCTCCCTCCTCCCTCTCCCCCC